CCACCACCATCATCACCACCACCATCATCACCACCACCACCATCACCACCACCACCACCACAGCAAAATAAAACACGGCGGATCCTCTTCCTCCTCCTCACCCCCTGACGACGACGGTGACGATGGCGGCTGCAGGACAAGTACGACGCAAGTTCCGCCGTGCGGCTGGTGACCCACAACTGGATTGCTCGTTCCGGGGGCGGCGGTGGCGGCGGTGCCTTTGCCGTTACCGGCGGCCGCAAAAGCGGCAAAGCCGCCCGCTGGCCGCGCCTGCACCTGGAGCCGGTGGACGAGGGGTTCGTGGCGCCCACTGCGAGCGAGCTGGTGCACGTGCACGGCAGCCCCGACTACTGCGAGCGCGACGATGCCCGCGGCGTTGCCGGCACGGTGGGGCGGCGGTGCCACTTGCCCGCCAACGGCACCGGGGATTGCTCGATCATGTGCTGCGACAGAGGGTACAACACTGTCCGAGGTGTGCCCCCACCCCGCCCCCCCGTCGCCGCGACCCGAAAATAAACTCAAACTATTCGTTAAGAAGCTACGAAACTATTTTATATTTAACCAGCCGAGCTGCGTAGATCCAGCCACAGACGATAGGTCGACCAAGTGGCTCGTCACGTAGAAATGCACAGCGTCCAAATTCTCTTAAATCGCCTGATTTTCAACGTGGAGGGAGAAGCGGAGGACCCGGAGACAAATCCACGTGACCTACGGGCAGAGAGAGACACGCAAACTCCAAATATGCAGCATCAGCGGGCATTGTCAGAGTTGGGATCGAACCCACGACCTCCTGCACAACAAGCGAGGGAGTTAACATCTCCTAGCCACCGTGATGATGATGAGAGAGAGAGAGACGCAGACTCCAAATATACAGCAGCAGCAGGCATCGCCAGGGTCAGTGCAATGTCTCTCATATCCTACACTACTTAGCTAGGACAAGCGTGCACTACTTGTGCTCGGATAACGACAGACACCCTCTCTTTCCACACTGTCCCTGTACTACTATACACTATCACTCTTGACTTAAAGCTTTCATGACAGCAGGAATTAATATTCTTTGGGTCTTTCGGTAAAGTCACGTAGATAGGTGAAAAAAAATCACTAAAATAAACCAAACGGTCGCTTGTGTTGCGATCGAAACGTCGTAGTTTTTTGTTACTTTTATTATTTTTTTAGGCCATCTACGTGGCTTTAGCAAAAGACCCCAAGGATACTATTCTTCGCTCCGTTACACTACTACGCTATACAGTACACTATACACTACACTACTATACACTACACTATACACTACACTATACACTACACTATACACTACACTACACTATACACTACACTATACACTACTATACACTACGCTATACACTACACTATACACTACACTATACACTACACTATACACTACACTACAATATACACTACACTCTACACTATACTATACACTACACTATACAGTACACCACGGAGAGAAGTGCACGCAGACTTTTGTTACCTCGCGGCGGCGATTGCAGAATCGCGATAAAAACCTCGTGGGCAAAACGACGATGTCCGACGTTTTGCACTCTCGCCTCTGCTGTGTTCCCCTCCCAGTGACGGTGGAGAAGCGGTGCAGATGCAAGTTCCGGTGGTGCTGCTCCGTCAAGTGCGAGCGGTGCCCGCAGACCGTTGACCAACTCTCTTGCAAGTAGACAAGTAGACTGCAGCCGCAAGCTGCCGGGTGGCCTCGGCTGGAGATCGACTCCAGTCGGGGTTCAGCCGAGTCCTGCCGGGTTCGGTGATCCGTTCAAAGTTGTTGAGGGTGCCAGCACCACGGCATCCAGCACTACACTATACACTACTATACACTACACTATACACTACTATACACTACACTATACACTACACACTATACACTGCACTATACACTACACTATACACTACACTATACACTACTATACACTACACTATACATTATACACTACTATACACTACACTATACACTACACTACTATACACTACACTATACACTACACACTACACTATACACTACTATACACTACACTACTATACACTACTATACACTACACTATACACTACACTATACACTACTATACACTACACTACTATACACTACTATACACTACACTATACACTACACTATACACTACTATACACTACACTATACACTACTATACACTACACTATACACTACTACACTATACACTACTACACTATACACTACACTATACTATACACTACACTACTATACACTACACTACACTATACACTACACACTACACTATACACTACACTACTATACACCACACTACTATACACTACACTATACACTACTCTACACTACACTACTATACACTACACTACTATACACTATATACACTACACTATGTAGACTCCACTTATATACACTGCTCTCTATATGTTACATGTTGATATACATGACATCTTGATGTGACGTGAGGCAGATGACGATGCTAGTACCTGCCTCCATTCCCGTTCTGTATCGGCCAAGAGTTTTCGTAGCTGTGAATTAAAAGTGTTTTGCATGTTCTGTCAAACAAAATCCTCAGGTTTCTATCTCATCGTTTTGATATCGCGATGGATTCAAAGTTGACGTCACTCGGGTAACGACGGCGGTCAACTGCACCGTGCCGCGGTTTGGGTTGGGCTGTAGCAGGATGGAATTAATCCGCGACAGAATGAATGACGCATTCAAGTTCATGTATTAGGTGTAGCCCTGTGAGCCATTCGGCTCTTGAATCGGGTGCAACCGCAACAAACAAAAAACTAAACATGAACAAGAAACATCTTAAGGTGAATATGTGACTAAGTGCAAACAGAAAATCCAAGAAAAAACAGCAACATATTGCAGAAAAAGCACCGTACACCAACGCTGTGTGCAAAAATCCCAGTGGGATGCAAGTCAAACAACCAACAACAACAACCACAAGACAACTTAGATCACGGCCATCAGTCTAACTCTGTACTACAACAAACAACCAACAACAACAACCACAAGACAACTTAGATCAAGGCCATCAGTCTAACTCTGTACTACAACAAACAACCAACAACAACCACAAGACAACTTAGATCAAGGCCATCAGTCTAACTCTGTACTACAACAACCAACAACAACAACCACAAGACAACTTAGATCAAGGCCATCAGTCTAACTCTGTACTACAACAAACAACCAACAACAACAACAACCACAAGACAACTTAGATCAAGGCCATCAGTCTAACTCTGTACTACAACAAACAACCAACAACAACAACCACAAGACAACTTAGATCAAGGCCATCAGTCTAACTCTGTTAATGTCGGGGAGGAAGCCAACTGGAGTCAATGGGACGGCCTAATATGGGGGTCTTTGTCGATCCACAAATCTCTTTAGATCGAGAAATCTCGGTGCCATCCACAAATCGTCAGTTTCTCGTTCAGAAATCACGTAGCGGGAGTCACTTTTAACGATAACAAATTTGTATTTCAAATATCACTGCTTGATCCACACTCCATCACATAGACCAACACACTCTAAATGTCAGAGCTCATTCACTGCTAGATCCACGCTCCATCGCATAGACCAACACACTCAAAGTGTCAGAGCTCATTCACTGCTTGATCCACACTCCATCGCATAGACCAACACACTTAAAGTGTCAGAGCTCAAACACTGCTAGATCCACACTCCATCACATAGACCAACACACTCAAAGTGTCAGAGCTCAAACACTGCTAGATCCACACTCCATCACATAGACCAACACACTCAAAGTGTCAGAGCTCAATCACTGCTAGATCCACACTCCATCACATAGACCAACACACTCAAAGTGTCAGAGCTCAATCACTGCTAGATCCACACTCCATCACATAGACCAACACACTCAAAGTGTCAGAGCTCAATCACTGCTAGATCCACGCTCCATCACATAGATCAACTCACTCAGTGTCAGAGCTCATTCACTGCTTGATCCACACTCCATCACATAGACCAACACACTCAAAGTGTCAGAGCTCAATCACTGCTAGATCCACACTCCATCACATAGACCAACACACTCAAAGTGTCAGAGCTCAATCACTGCTTGATCCACACTCCATCACATAGACCAACACACTCACAGTGTCAGAGCTCAATCACTGCTAGATCCACACTCCATCACATAGACCAACACACTCAAAGTGTCAGAGCTCAATCACTGCTTGATCCACACTCCATCACATAGACCAACACACTCAAAGTGCCAGAGCTCAATCACTGCTAGATCCACACTCCATCACATAGACCAACACACTGAAAGTGTCAGAGCTCAAACACTGCTAGATCCACGCTCCATCACATAGACCAACACATTCAAAGTGTCAGAGCTCATTCACTGCTTGATCCACACTCCATCACATAGACCAACACACTCAAAGTGTCAGAGCTCAATCACTGCTTGATCCACGCTCCATCACATAGATCAACACACTCAAAGTGTCAGAGCTCGATCACTGCTTGATCCACGCTCCATCACATAGATCAACACACTCAGTGTCAGAGCTCAATCACTGCTTGATCCACACTCCATCACATAGACCAACACACTCAGAGTGTCAGAGCTCAATCACTGCTCGCTCCTGGGCCTCCCCTAGGTCGACTCAGCATCAATCGAGAGCCTGGTGCGGTGTGTCGCAGTGAACATCGCCACGGGAGAGACACAGGCGGCTGGGCGTGGTGCTGGCCACCCGCCCCCCTCGTGAGCCTCCACTCGTGAGCAGCAGCAGGCTGCACAGGCTGCACGGCAGGGGGGTCTTTGTGTGGGGGGGGTACAGGGGGGTACGGGGGGGGTACAGGGGGGGGTACAGGGGGGGGGTACAGGGGGGGGGGGTACAGGGGGGTACGGGGGGGGGGGTACAGGGGGGGGGGGTTACAGGGGGGGGGGGGGGGGGGGGGTAACAGGGGGGATTACAAGGGGGGGGGGGGTGACAAGGGAGATACATCACTTACACACTGAACTCTGCACGTATAAAGTACTGTGCATATATATAGACATTTTCGATTTAAAGATTTCGTGACTGCAGGGATTCATGTTCTTGCTTCTTTCGGTAAACTCACGTAGAAGGGAAATACACAATACAATATAAAACAATAAAAATTAAAATAAATTAAATCACGACTTTTTTCGCGGGCAACACAGACGGAAGTTTGCGTTGCCTCCGAAACGTGGCGATATTATTTATTTTAATTTTATTTTTTATACCCACGTGACTTTACTGAAAAAAACACAGAGTATGCGCGTAGACTCTTTGCTTATTTCTATTTTATATTTAAAATTTTCACCCACGTGACTTTACCGAAAGAAGCAAAGGATATGGATCCTATCAGTCACGAAAACTTCAAATCGACTGCTGCACATACAGAACTGTGGCCAGTGTTGAGTCTATGGGCGGGCGCCTATCAGCTCTACGGAATTTAGCCTCGCTGCCACGTGGTCGCCTATCCGCGCTACGTTTTCTAAACGCGCCCTGCTAAAGCCACGCGTGGTCACAACGACGCACCGTCTCCCGCCCTTGTTGTGGTAGCGAAACGTCGGACCTCCACCACCACCACCACCACCACCTCCTCCACCACCACCTCCACCACCACCACCACCACCTCCTCCACCACCACCACCTCCACCACCACCACCACCACCACCTCCACCACCACCATCACCACCACCACCACCTCCACCACCACCACCTCCACCACCACCTCCACCACCACCCACCACCTCCACCACCACCACCACCTCCTCCACCACCTCCACCACCTCCTCCACCACCTCCACCACCACCTCCACCACCTCCTCCACCACCACCACCTCCACCACCACCACCACCTCCACCACCTCCACCACCACCACCTCCACCACCACCACACGAGGCAATAGCTTCGTGTGTCACCTCCTCGCCACGACGGAGTAGAGAGCTCAAGACCCCCCACCACCCACACAGACGTCTACGGAGCGAACCACGAGGTGAGTGAGTGCAGCCCTAGGCCACATTGCCCCGCCTGGTTGGGCTGGGCTGGCCTGGGCTGGGATTGGGCTGGGTGACATTGCCCGGCCTGGCCTGGTTGGGCTGGGCTGGGATTGGGCTGGGCTACATTGCCCGGCCTGATTGGCCTGGGATTGGGTTGGGATTGGGCTGGGCTGATGCCCCCCACCCCCCACCACCATCCCCTGTGGTCTTTGTGGAACAGTTGAGGGGTCTAAACTGTGTTGGTCAATCCACCCGTGGAATGTAACATTCATGTAAATGTCTAAGTCGAGATCATTTAATCAGAATCTGGGGTCGTGACGGTGACTAGGTGGATGTTAACTCATTCGCCTGGTCTACAGGAGGTCATGAGTTCGATCGCGACCCTGTAGAGATATTGACTACCTCGCCTGGTCTACAGGAGGTCGTGGGTTCCATCATGTCCCTGTAGAGATGTTAACTCCCTCGCCTGGTCTACAGGAGGTCGTGAGTTCGATTGCGACCCTGTAGAGATGTTAACTACCTCGCCTGGTCTACAGAAGGTCGTGGGTTCGATCCCAACCATGACGCCCCTCTATCAAGTTCAAGTTCATGTATTACGTATAGCCCTGTGAGCCATTCGGCTCTTGAATCTGGTGCAACCGCAACAAACAAAAAACTAAAATATGAACAAGAAAACATCTTAAAGTGAATATTAGACTAAGTGCAAACAAAATCTAAGAAAAGACCAAAATATTGCAGAAAAAGTACCGTTACACCAACGCCATGTGCAAAAATCCCAGTGGGATGCAAGTCAAACAACAACAACCACAAGACAACTTAGATTAAGGCCATCAGTCTAACTCTGTACATCAACAAACATGGCAAACCAAAAAAAAACGGGCCGAACGAAATCTGTTTAGGCATGCGGTGGCTGGGCATGCGGGTTACATGACCCAGCCAACGCAGCCTTGCCTGCCGGAGGAGCTCACCAATAGGACTTTGTCCAGATCTTTCAAGGATTTGTGAGCTCCACACACAATCCAGCCTGGTTATCCGAGGATGGATCATAGACAGGCCAACCTAAATGTTTCTAACCGGTTAAGATGGATCATAGACAGGCCAGCCTAAATGTTTAGGCTTGTCTGTCTAGAATTTCCCTTGGGTGATCATCTCTGCCTGGTGCCTTTCCTGGTCTCGACTCTGGATCTCCTTCAGGACTTCCTCAACAGATGACACCTCAGCCAGTCACTCACAGGGGGTGACTTCTTCCAATATTTGAGGCACCGCAGCCTCAGCAGTGTCATCCCCACTTTGTGCCATGATGTTTTCCTGGCTGAGGGATTTCCCCTCCCCCAGGACCTCACAGAAATGCTCAGCAAATCTGCAAACCTGTTCCTGGGGATCGGAGATTGGATCACCATTTTTTCCCCGAATGATGGTGATAGGTGTGGCACTACAAATTACGTTTTTGATGGAATTAAACAGCGATGTCTGATCACGGGCTACTGAGGC